TAATAAGTAATCTAAATGAAGAGTAGGAGGAGGAGAGAGAATCCACGTTTAATTCAATTAGCATTGTTGTCTAGTGCCATTAATTATGCTCAGACTTGTAATGTGGCACAGGAGTTGATACACTTGAGCTTTGTCTCTGCTAGGGTTGACTGAGGACAAGTAAGTCCACTGGTGTAGAATCCAGCCTTTGTGCTTTGCAAAAACCTTCAAATTTGGTATCTAACAGTAGCCTGGAGTAAGCAATAGCCTGAATAGCCTGCATTGCAATCTACTGAACAAAGGGTATCTCTGGGAAAATGATGATTTGATGTACATGTTTTCAGTGGTTTTTAAAGAGGGACTATTTTAGTGGAAGTAATAATCTCCTGCAACTTTATATTATTTCCAGACTGTTTTAAATTGTTTCATAAGCAGGGAATAAAGAACTTTGTTTACTGTCTTAAAGTGTGATGTCTGATCCTCCTGGGGGATGTTACTCTTTTATTAAAAAAGATATAAAATAGCTACTTTGATGGAAATATAACTCTAGGAATTGAAATTGTGATGATTATAGAAGCTGTAGTATTCTAATGCAAAATAAGCCTTAGGAGATATGTACCCTAAATGGTAAATCACACTGTTTTTTAACAAAACAAGAATTATTACTGTTGTTCTATGATTCTTGCTTATTTTATATGGTATTTAGCTGTTTCATCTGCACTTAAGTTTTACAGGCTGGGGATAAATTGATTTTTGGTTTGCTTTTTAAATAGCTTGGCTTTTTTAAAGCACGCTGGAGATGCAAGCACGGATCAACAGGGCAGGATTCATTTGGTACTCAGAAAAGGAGGGAGAAAAACCATGACTACGGACACTGTATGCAATAACTGGATCAGAATCTGTTCCCATAATTTGGTAGTGTTTTGTAATCTCCTTAGAAGGAGGCAAAGATTATTATTTGTAAAGGACCTCATGGGTAAGGCTTAGCAATTTTGAGGGGAATATCACCTTGAAGTGTGTATGTTTATTGCAAGATAACTTCTGCTGCAGTTCTAGAGGGGCTGTGGGAATCCCTCCAGGCCCTGAGGGTGCTGACAATCCTCCGTGGCCCCGACCAGCTTCACATGGGGCTTCCACCCAGAGACCTGGGAGCTCTGTTTATTTAAGCTGAGCCCTGAGCCCTCCGTCCATGCTTGGGCTATGCTCAGGAGTACTGGTTTCCAGCTGAGCTACAGCCATGCGTGTGCCTGGCCATGGACCCCGCTGATCCAGACCCCGACCTGAAGGCTGACTCCCAGCCTGATTTCAGACCTGCCTTGTCATTGTGGACCTGCCTGGCTATCACTGGACCTGATTCTGACCCTGACCTGCAGATTTGTTTCCCAGGTGTACCTTGAGTCTCCCTCATTACCATGATGCTGCCTCTTCTTTGGACCTGGCTGCCATCTCGGGTCTCCCCCTCAGCACCACGTCCCTCAGGGAGCTGTTGGCACTTGATGTTCCCTGTGACACGATTTCTGTAGTTTGACTGTTGTGCCTCACGTGTTTCAAAGGGAGGGTCCCTGGAGGAGGAGGGAGCCAACCTGCAGGAACTGTCAAGGATCCTGATGGTCTCGCATTGAAGAGGACTGGAAAGAAGCTTCCTTTAGATTTGGTCTTGCCAGATGCTCAATTGATGATAGTGATTGCTGTGCATGGCAGATCCCTCTCGTTTGACAGTAAGGGAAGGACCACAGGGTTTTGGCCAGTGTGATTAAGAGGAATTGTCTGGTTGCTTTTGCTTTGAAAGCCCCCAGCAAGGTAAACAAATGCGTGTGTTGTTCTAAACTGGAGTTACTCTATCAGGCCTGGAACTACTGGTAGGATTATTCATTAGGGGCATCATGTTTCAACTCTGTCTGGCAACTTGTGTTTTACTTTAAATAATTAGGCTTACCTGCCAGATGTTTGGAATCCAAGATGCTGAGATGTATTTAGTGAAAAGTGTCCTAAATAGTGACTTAGAAACTGAGCACAGAGGAAGGTGGTTGAAAGGGGAAAAGTGTCCCAGTTTCTGCAATTTGTGATGACCTAAAATCCTTAACGATGGAAACTAAATCAGATAACAAAATCTTTGCATCTTTTCTACATTAATATTAGCTTGTGACAGCTCCAAGTTAGTGATGTGGAGAAAGTACTGGTGTTGGATATCAAAGAACCACCTCCTTAGGCTAATTCAGGGAGGAAGCTGGATGATGTGGTCCTCGTTGCTTATTGCATTCCTCAATAGCTCACATAATAAGGAAGACGCAAGAAGAGATGCAGTCTGGTTAGTTGGCTGCATTGGGATATCTGCCTTGAATTTTGCAAGCTTTTATTCTTTCTGATGCTTAGGACAGTCTCTTGCTAACAATAGTTTTCTCTTGCAGGAATGCAGATCTGTACCATATCTCCCTGAATCTTCATTTTAGAAGCAGCCAGAGGATAAAAACTAGCGAAGTGCTCATTTAAAGTCAATATGCTCTAGTTTGCAATTCACTCATGTTTAAGTGCCCAGCTTTAAAGGTTTCCTTTGCCCACAGGCAGTCTGAATACAAAGGGAGACTTTACCACCTTCCATCTCCTCAGATTTATTATCACAAAGCAGTTTGCTTCTGAAGAATCTAGAGGGGAACAAGGAGATGGGCATTCATGGAGTCACCACAAGATCCATGTAGAAATGAGGATGATGGATGAGTTATGTGTACATACGTTTGTGTGCGAGAGGAGTGAGAAGGTCCCACCTGGAAGCAGTTTGGGCATTTGATGCCTTGGAGATTGAGGTTTACAGGGAATGGGTGTAATGGAAAAAATCTCTACGTGTAACTGGTTTCTTTGCTGTTAGCAAGGCTGAGGTTGCATGAAGATGAATAGAAGTTCTGAGTCTTTACTATATTGCAATATTGTGTAAATTCTGCTTAGAGAGAATCTTTACTATGGGGTGGGGAAAAGGGAGGTGCAGTTAGAATGTGATATCTTCAAGAAGAACGTGAAGGGATTAAGGTATTTTTCCCAGCAGCTAATTTTCCTTCTGAAGCTGTGGGCAGAAGGCACAATGCGACATTTGAACCCTACCGTAAAGGATTAGGTGTGTATCATAAGTTATTGGCCATAATGATTAAATACTGGACACTGGAAGGAGTGATTTTTTTTTTTTTTTTTTTTTTTTTTTTTTTTTTTTTGTATTTCAGAAGCCTTGTTCTTGTTGATTGATTCTGTAGCCAGAGTTATACTGTGGCTTCAGTAGAAATGGAAGTAGTGACTGTGTGTATCACCTCTGGTGGTCCAGCATGTGTTATCATTGAAGGCTGTCCGTGTTGCATTTTTGACTGAGATGGTTGCCTGAGGCTTATTGTCATGGTCTTGGTTAATACTAGGGCTTACCTGAAAATGAAAGTTGCTTCCTTATTGAAGTCCACATTCCGGAATGTCAGAATATGCCTGTAAATAAAGGAAACTGAACAGGGGCGTCTCAGCTTCTTAAAAGGGAAATTTTAGATCACGCAAGGATTAAATGACACTTTTCACTGTGGAGCTTAATGAGACCTCAGTACCCTGCTCTTGCTCACAGCATAAGATCACTCAGAAGGATACTGTCCTGCAGGGTTTACACAAAACATGGCACAGCAAAAGGGGTAATCCAAAATTCACTGTGGGGATTAAATGCAATTTTTCCAAATAAAATGCTGTAGTTCCCTGGTGATGAAGCTGATCACGGGTAGAGAATATTTGAACCTTTATGTGATTAAACTCAGAACCTGCAGGCAACAGTTTCATCCCAATCATTTTGTTTTCCTGTGATGTGAAAAGTTATACTGAATTTGCCAATGGTGTTTTCTTCAGGGAAAGTGTGATCACTTTGCAATTTAGGGCTCTGTGTCATTGCTTTGCTTTTTTTTTTTCTTTTTTGTAAAATATGAAAAAATGTGAGTTTGTGTGTATATATATTCCTTAATAAAGGGGTTCTTTGTGTGCCTGTTTGACAAGATGTGCAAATAGAAGCCCTGCTTTGGCTTTGAGGCCTGTGTAGCCCAATACCTTCAGGGTTTATAATGAAATGAACAGTCTGTCATTTCATTTTATGTAGTTGAGGATTCATAATGCTGGGGAAAAGTCATATTTCTCAGTATGCAAGCCAGTTCTTTATGGGCCACTTGCTGTGAAACTTCTGAAATACATTCATCTACCAAAGAGGAGCTTCTCTGATTTCTGTGCTGAGACACAGAATTGCATAAGAAAAAGGAAAGTTCAGACATTAGTGCTGGCGAAAAGCAGAAGCATTCTCTTTGGGCCATATCCCTGCAAGAACTGGGCTTTGATCTACTTTCTTTCTGTTTAGTGTTACTTTATGTTTTCTATCTGTTATATATTTTAACTACATTGTAGGCAGTTAGACCTTACGGACTTAGTGAAGGGAAGATGTCAGAAGAGTAGCATTACACATAATTCAGCTATTAGTCTCTAGCTATCTATTTTTCTAAATTATCATTGCTTTAGGCAGTTTGAGAAAGGTGTCCATTTAATAGTAGGTATTGATGTTTTATACCCTTCTGTAGCCTGCGACTAAGTGTATTTTATCAAATGGAAATAAACTTTTAATGGTGTGTAAGATTAACTGCTCTGAAAGCCAGTGGTCCTGTTCACTGTGGAAGTGAATGAATGTTTTTACAGACAAAAATTCTGCTCCTCCTACGCTGGGCATTGAAAAGAAAGCTTAAAGCAGGTTTAAATATAAGGTAGTAGTCTGTTAGTCTGTAGTACATTGCCTATAAATATGAAGTCTTGATAAATGCTTCACATGATTTCCATTTACTGAGCTGAGCCCAGTCATACCAGCATAGTTGCAGCATGTTTTTTTGAGACAGTAAATACTTCATTCTCTGAATCTCTACTTGCAAGTTTTGGGGTAAAATGTGTTTTTCAATTGAGAAAGCTGAAATCAATAGAAGAGTTATACCATGACGGTAGAACTGAAAAGTTATTTCTTTCACATGCTTCTTTAGGAACAAAGCCCCAGTAACCAGACATCAATAGCAATGATGCAAGAGCCTCAAGAAATGGTGGAAGAGACAGTTACTGTGGAGGAAGACCCAGGCACTCCAACTTCCCATGTGTCTATTGTCACTTCTGAAGATGGAACCACAAGGAGAACTGAAACCAAGGTGAGGTTAATAACCGGTGAGGAAAATGGCAAAATACCACCTAATCACAAAATAAAAATAGCAGGGAGTAGCATGAGGCATGACAGTCATGCTGTTGTGATCCTCAGTGATTTTGAATGTTCTGTTTGCCAGCAAAGCTGAGTTCAGGGCTTTTTCAGGTTCACCTCTATGCCTAGGTTGATCCCTATCAGCTGTGGCGATACAGCAGTTTATGGAACTGTGAGCTAAACGGTAGAAATTATCCAGGTTAACCGAACAAAAACACTAGAGCCCCTTCTCAGACTGTTTATTCTTTAAGATTCACTTTATTTTTTTGAAACAGTTTACAACATTGCCCTGGCAAACACATACAATGATTGGAGAATTAGATGAGTTGGTAGGGCTCGCAATAAATTAATTTTGCAGCTGAGGAAAATGTGCTTGGAAATATGTCTCCAAATTAGTTATGAGCTATAACAACAATATGTGACTGTGCATTTGTCCTTTAGAACAAGAAACATCCTATTTATAAAACACTATAGCATTTCAATTCTTCAATAATCTTGTGAATGGGATTTTATTCCTGATTCATGGGGAAAGCTGGGTATCTTCTCAAGTGACCTGTACTTGGTTGGGCTGCATTACAGGTGCATATGTTCTAATTCTCCTGAGGTCTTTTTGTTCCCCTGTGTAAGCTAATTTTGCAGTCTTTGTTGAGCAGGTGCTGTATGTTCATGGCTGCCTTGCATGCTTTCTGGGACCACTGGAACATTAATGCTTGGAATTTGGGACTTGGAAGTTGAGCTGAAATCTTTGTGAGGTTTTGGTCTTGTGAAAGTTTAAGGGTGTGATTCCCTTTCTAAAAAAATTTCTGTGTTAAAAGCAGTTGAACAGTGGTCACTGCATAAATTAGTGTTTATTTTTACTGGCATTCCAGAATTTCAGTCCTCCAAGGTATCTATTCATGACATCAGATCCTCAGGTTAGAGTGTTGATTTCCTGCGGTCAGTGGGCCTGCACACATTACTATAAACTGAGTATCTGGTTTAATATTTGTTGCAGTTAGTTAGAAGATAAATATAACTGCTCTACTTTCTCATTGTTGGAAGGAGATGAAGGTCTTAAAAATAAAACAGACAAAATAACCCACATTTTGATTAGCTCTTCAAATAATCTAACATATTTAGTCTGTGACTTGTTTGAAAGAAATGCTGTTTTCTTTCTAGTGGAAGCAACAACAACTGTTATTTACAGGAAGGAAGTGATAAAATTACAGTGGTGATGGACACCTTTTTATATGTGCTAATGGCAGCGCATAGTTTTAGGAGACTAAGTGCAGCTATGCAAGGGAATAAAATGATAGCTACGATGGTAAAAATAGGAGAGGCCATGCAGTGGTCCATAGATAATGGGACCACGTGGAATGGAATAGTTTGTCTGAAATAGTCATGCCACTGATAAAGTTACATGTTTGGCATTAAAAGGTGCAGTTTTCTCCCATGTGTGCTATACCTGCAATTTTTCCATCTCCTCACAGAAAAGTACAGTGGCAGCTCCAAAACAGGCATTGTATCTGCATATGGGAAAACTGAAAAAGCAGCAACCCTGGAGCTACTGTTCAAAGAGCCAGGCTTTCTTAGTTACTGTAGTTTATTCCAGACACTGAAGAGTGTCCAGAATGGGGGGAGGGTGCTTAGCTGTCTTGCTCTGCATTTTTGTTTTTTTCAAATTATGCCACTAACTTCAACGTATGTATTGTCCAGAGATGTTTCCTAGTATTTAATTGCTAAAAAGATGAACTCTTTAAAAAAAGGGTTTTTAAATCCAGTTGTTGAAAAAAGTGATTCTGAAATGTCAAAAAACAGATGGAGTTGGCTTAGCCTAAGCTCTGTCATAAGAGGTACTTTGACTTTGCTGAGGTAGATTTTGTCTCTGAAATGGTTTTGTTTTGACTTTTCCTTGCTATGATAATATGGCATAGATTTAACAGTTCTCAGATATTAATCTGAGGTCAGGTTGTTATTTTTTTAATCATATTGGTCTTGCACTTGCTTTTTTTTTTTTTTTTTTTTTTTTTTTTTTT